AAAGCTAGTTGTGCTTTGTTTTTTGTGTTTTATATATAGATATATGTTGTAACTTCTGGCTGCATAAGTTTAGTCTGTTTGCCCTGATCAATTAAAACTAAAGTGATTTTACACAAAGTGTTTATTAAGTTCAACAAAGTTAAGTCAGGTCCTCTGGATGATTTTTTTGTTTGTTGTTGAAACGTTTCGTCTTTCATCCAAAGGACTTCATCAGTCCGAGGAGCCACAACAAACTCAGTCTTATAAGTAGCACACTCACATAGAGGGCAAACAAGTTTGCTGGTGATAAGATGATTTCTGGAGTCCGCCCTCTCCCCAGCCGACTCGTCTGAGGCAGCCATGGCCAAAGTGGTTCAGAACATCAAAGTTCGTGCTGATAAGGCAAAAATGCCTCACTAAATACCTCGAGTAACGCCATGAGATTCACTACCTCTGCTATTGTGCCAGTTTCGTGTAAGTGGCCAGGTGTGTGCTGGGTTCACACGCTCTGTGCATGTGATTGTGGACCATGCAATTTTAACAAAGAGGAGACTAAAGCGAGACTGCCTGGGAGTGGGGTAGTTCAATGCCACATGGCCATACTCTTCTACACTTTGCTGAATTTGCCATGACTGGATGTTGGCTGGGCAGCATGGTGGCACAACTGGTAGAGCTGCTGCCTCTCAGCGAGCAAGTCTTTGGTTCAAACCCTGGTCCAGGGGCCTTTCTGGGTGGAGTTTGCATGTTCTCTCCGTGCATGCGTGGGTTTTCTCCGGATACTCCGGTTTCCTCCCACAGACCAAAAACATGCATGTTAGGCTGATTGGTAACTCTAAATTGTCCCTAGGTGTGAGTGAGAGAGTGAATGGTTATTTGTCTCGTTTGTCTCTATGTGGCCCTGTGATGGACTTGCGACCCGTCCAGGGTGTACCCCGCCCCTCGCACAGTGATTGCTGGACATGGGCACCGGCGACCCCCGTGACCCAAAATGGAATAAACGGGTAAAGATAATGGATGGATGGATGGATGTTGGCTTATTAGACACTACAGAGTGAGAGCTGATCAAGGAGTTGAAAATGTCCATATTACCGAAATTATGTAAAAGGCACAGATTGCAGAAGATTTATTAGTGAAAAAAGCATGCACAACCAGATAATTGAGCACCTATGGAGGGATGTTTGAACAGTACACCTTCCTCCCAAGGCTCAAGGCTGATTTGGACAAGTTTTCGGCTGGCTGGAATGACCATCCCATCAGGACAGATTGTAGCCTTTCCCCAAACCAGCTGTGGGAACCTGGGATGTTGCAACACTCCATCAGAGAGCCAGAGATGTCTGAGGAAAATTTGACAGGAAATCCAAATTGAGTATATTGATTGGGAGAGCTCAGGACCATCCCATCATGTCAACACAGACATTATTAGGGCTGGGTACCTTTCTAAAAAAATCTGTATCGGTACAGGTGTCGGTACCTTCACTTCGGTGTTGGTTCCTGGACGGTTCTTTTTTCTGTACCAATTTTGTAATTACTATTAATTCTAACAAGAATAAAATTACGTTACACATTACAGTACAAATTGTGAATTTTATTTTTTAACTTTGGTATTTCTATTCCAAGCAGTTTTCTTACATTAAAATAAACAAATAATTTCCAGTTCAAAAGAACAGTTACAAACCAGTGACATGTCAGTGTCTAATGTTCACTGCTACACACTGAGGACCTTTTCACTGAACAGTTTTTCTTCAGAAACAACGTGTCTGTTTTCTCTGGACACAAACAAGCTCACTCCTGGCTGATGGTGCCTCCAGCAGTAGGAAGTGTTCCCTCTGAGGATGTGGATGATGCTTGTTGCACACACAGATACCTGGTTGTCAGTTTGACAGCACTGCCATATTGTCCCTCACATTCCACCAGCAGGTCACTGGATTCAATGAGGAAGGGATGATGCAGACATCTGCAACTCTGTGTCTCTGCGGTTCTCTGGGGTTTAGGGCTCTGATCATCTCCCTAATTCACATTAGAACAAAACATCAACAATAACATGTTTGTGTTATTATTGATCAAAAAACATCATCTAGGCTGAGAGATAAAAGTTTAACTGGTCAACAAAATCTTTTACATTTTACTTACCTCCTCCATGCAGCTCCACTGTAGAAAAAGACAGCAAACTTTTAACAACAAAGTCTGATTGTCCTGTGGCCCCCACCTCGCTTTTCTGTCTGTCCTCACATCTGGGTCAGAACCTCCTGTGAGGAGAACATTAACATGAACAGCGAACATTAGGTGAACTGTTTAAGCAGCTGACTGGATGGATGAGCAGTTTTACAAGCGAAGCTTTATCCGTTACTGTCAATCTTTAGTTAGCTTCTGAGTTTAGCTAGCTACGTAGATAAAATATATTTACACACTAATATGTTAAAGTTAGCGTTATTTCACCGCGATGTACGTGTTAACAAACTTAAAGTCCATGCTCAATAATCCAGGTATAAAATCCAACATTTTTCAGTCAGGTCAGTCAGGTTAACAAACGTAAACTCACCAGCTGAAACAGACACAGCTTCATCCTCGTCCTTTGATGAAGACGAGTCCGGCTGTGGAATGTTGATTCAGTTCGTTTCACACACACAGACTGACTCACGCTGAGAGGAGGGGGAAGGAAGCTGCTGTCAGTCTCTCTTCTTGGAGAGAAACACGGAGCAACTTTCTGCGCGTGTTGTCGGAGCCGTTCGACAACACACGTGAACCCCGTCTGTGGGCGGTGTCACCAGCACCATAGACTACATTGTACATAGAATAGGTGCGGCAGCTTTATATAGCTCTGGGTGTAAACACGTAGTCCATTTGTCATATGTCTGGTGTTTTACCTGCCTGCGTGCTGAAACCACGTGACACCTTACAGCCAATACCGAAACTTGATACCGAAAAAAGAGTGACGTTTCAATACATATACCGACCGGTGCAGTTCGGTCGGTGCCATAAAAGAACCTCGGTTCGGTACTCAGCACTAGACATTATTGTGCCAGAAATGGAATCCCCACTGAATGCTCAAGTTATTGAATCTCTACGCCATGCCGTTAATGCCCTCGTGCCTTCATCCAGTTTTGGAAGAGACATTTATTTAACCATACTCTCACATTCTCTGCACCTGCATCACCATTATTGACAGTCATCGCTTGGCTCAGGGGTCACATGCGACTCTTTGGTCCCTCTGCAGTGGCTCTTTCAAGCTTTGACCAAAACGAACACAAAACTGAATTTTATTGTTTGTTATACAAACAAAAAATAAAGCTAGTTTTAGCAGTTTTTTGCGTTTCAGTTTTTTTGTCATTTCTTTTGCAAATATGTCATTACTAGAACTACTACAAGGAGTAATATACTCACTTTAACTTTTTATAATGTAGCTGTTTGTTTTGTTTTTATATCATTTCTTCTATTTACTTTTCATTTTACATGATTGTCTACTGTTGTCTGTATCTCATCTGTGTTCTTTGTTAATAACAGGTCTCTCTTGAAAAGGAGTCCTCGAGGCTCAATGAGACTAACCTGTATAAATAAAGGTTAAATGAAAATTACAGTCATCTTGTTTGTTTGTCTCAGGTTAGCTCACCCTGGGTTACAGTTCCTCGTGGGCGGAGCGATCTTACTGTTCACGTCATGTCACTTGAAAGGATTATATCCAAACTCTGTATTTACTAAGCACTGGTAGCTGTGGTGTTCATCTTGAATTGGGCTGATATTGAAAATTGTAGATGTGAATCCAATGATTACTTTGAGTTTTACAAAATCCTGTTCAGTAAGTCATGAGATATTTTCCCAAAAGACAGACACACAAATGCACACACAAATACAAGCAAAGAAATAAAATAATATGAATAAAATTACAGAAGACACGCACATTTCAGGCAAGAGAAATAAACAAACTCTGTTAACCTGAGCCGTGCTTTGTGGTTCGTGCTTATCAGCTATCAGCATGCTAAAAAGCTAAACTACATAAAAGGAAATATTCATTTTAATAAGACCAATATCACTTTAGATTAAAGCTGACTGCCTGTAACCCAGTCTTGATTAACTTATCAGACAAGTCATGGATGAATTAAAGTTATGAGAGCTAATTAAAGCACATTTTGTTTTCATCTTGATGCTTGTTCTTAAGTACATAACAGTATCTAAAGAGACATTTCTGTTTATTATATGTTCAGTCTTTTATTCTGAAGTTCACCTGCCGGTTTAGCTAGTGTGTATACATGTGTTCAGTATTGTATTTTGAAGGATGTAGTAACGGGAGAAGTGTGTGTGCTGAAATGGTGGGGGGTGAGTTAAAGAAATAGAGTGGGAACACCGTTTGTTGTGGAAGTGGACTATTTTTATCATCTAACATTTGCTTCTCAAATCCTGCACCAATATAAAAAAATAAAATTCAAGACCCAACATAAAACACAACAGAAGATCCTCTAAAATTTGCATGTGGGGGTTGAACATGACATAATTAGTGTTGTGCTGTAGTCAACAGACTACACTGCATGAAAAAAAGTCTAAAACAGTCGTTGTTGTACGTGTGGCAGCCACAACACATTCTCAACAGATCCTGAGACAAGACCTCGGGGGAGATATCTGACAAGTGCATCTTTCCTTTACAACACGGTATAAATAGAAATCCAAGAAGTTGTCAAGCAGATATGTTGGGTGTGAAGATATATCTGAAAGCTGCTCCGATCCTGAGGGAAACATTTCATGCCTTTCCACCCTCCAACATCTATTTCTGGCCTGACCACAGTCGAACAATAAAATTAGCACATAGTATTAAAAAAAACAACTAGACAGAGGAGAGGGTGTGTTTACATTTTCTTAGTCTCTTGACAACATGGTGAAGTGATGCAAGAGCAGAGGATGAATATAAAAGCGAAAGATTTAACACAGTCTGTGTTTTGACAAAAAATCAGATCCATACACACATTTCTGTAGTCTTCACAAGTCAGTGGATATTTATGAGGAGTGTTGATTAAAAACTCTGACGCCCTCACCTTCTTGGTATGCCCCATCTGCCATCACCAGGTGAAGGATGTTAGGGTACAGATGCTGGTGCTCAGTTCCCAAAATGTTGGACACCAAACCAGAGACCAGCTCAATATTCTCATCTTCATCTTCATGTATAGCCTTGAAAAAAAATTACACATTATTTTAAGCTTGTGAGATTGCGCAGGAAACTTTGCATGTTAAAGAGAAAAAAATTAATTCATACTTTAATCTTGTTGTAGGCCTCAATGAACTTCTCAAAACCCATCTGCTGTTCCAGGTTGAACCGAAGCTCTTCCAGGCGACTGAAGATGCTGTCATGATGGTCCGCCTCACCCCCCTGGTCTTCTCCACTGCCATCTACAGTAAAGCAGAATGTGATGTTTCTCAACAAATATTATTTGCATTATTATATTATGTTATGTAAAGATATGTTTGGACATTTTACACTAAGATTCTCAATCCATCAACATTTATTTATAACAGCCAAAAGGTGCACATATTGCAAAAGTTATTAAAAAAAAATTTTTTTAATGCCAGAGTGCCATGAGGTATTAAAAGCTTGCCTGAATAAAAAAGTTTTAAGATTAGATTTAAAAAGGTCCAGGTCAGTGATGGAGCGCAATTCATGAGATACTTGGTTTCACAGTTTAGATGGATGGATGGATGAATCATCCATCCAACCATCCATGCATTATCTTTACCCGCTTCTTCCTTTTCAGGTCTCGGGTATCCATGTCCAGCTATCACTGTGTGAGAGGCGGGGTACACCCTGCACAGGTCTCCAGTCCATCAAAGGGACACATAGACAAACAAGACAAACATCCAAAAAAGTTCAATCTGGTCCTCTGGACATTCAAAAAAACAAAAAACAAACAAAGCAAAAAAATATATAGAAACGTTTCGTCTCTCATCCAAGAGACTTCCTCAGTCTGAGGTGCTGTTTTCAGCTCAGTCTCTTAAATAGCACCTTCTCAGAGTGGATCAACCAGTTTGCTGCTGACAACCAAAACCAGCTGATCACATGCTCAAGAAGGACCATCAGCCTAACAATGGATCATTAGCACACTGATGGCTGTTTACTGTTCACAGAGGGCTGAGTGATACTAGCAATCACAGCATTGTAAGAGGGGGACAATTGAACCCGGAGGCCTCCACCCCTGTTTAATGATGGACGATTTCTTTTCACAAAGATGGCCTCCTTTACTCCTCTCTCAAACCATCGTTCCTCTCTGTCCAGGATGTGAACATCTTCATCCTTGCAAGAGTGACCGCTGGCCTGGAGATGAGTGTAGACCGCAGAATCCTGGCCTGATGATGTTGATCTTCTGTGCTGGGCCATCCTTTTGGCCAGTGGCTGTTTAGTTTCCCCGATGTAAGACTGATCACAGCCCTCCTGACACTGAACAGCATACACAATATTACTCTGTTTGTGCCGGGGGACTGGATCTTTGGGATGAACCAGTCTTTGCCGTAATGTATTTTGGGGTTTAAAAGCCACTGGGACGTTATGTTTAGAAAAAAAACGTCTCAGTTTCTCTGATACTCCCTCAACATACGGAATGACCACTGGTCTGGGTTCCTCCTTTTCACCTGATGGCTGACTGGAGTCCTGTTTGGGTTTCTTCTCTGCTTTCAGGAAGGCCCAGTTAGGATATCCACATTGCTCTAGAGCCTGTTTTGTGTAGGATTTCTCCTTTTGCCTGGCTCCTGAGTTAGTGGGGACGCTGTCTGCTCTGTGATACAGAGTCCTGATGACTCCTAACTTGTGCTCCAAAGGGTGATGGGAGTCAAACTGCAAATACTGGTTTGTGTGGGTGGGTTTGCGGTACACCTCGGTTTGCAAATGTCCTCTATCAGAGACTGAGACCTCACAGTCCAAGAAAGCCAACTTGCCATTTTTTACATCTTCTCGTGTGAACTTGATGTATTTATCCACAGAGTTGATGTGGTCAGTAAAATGTTGGACTTCCTGAGATTTAATTTTAACCCAGGTGTCGTCAACATACCTGAACCAATGACTTGGTGGTGTCCCTGAAAAGGACGTCAAGGCTCTCTTTTCTACCTCCTCCATGTACAGGTTGGCAACAATAGGAGAAACTGGAGACCCCATAGCACACCCATGTTTCTGCCTATAATATTGCTCCCCATATGTGAAGTAGGTTGACTGCAGGCACTGTTTCAAGAGTTGACACAGTTGTTCTGTGGAAAGCGTGGTCCTGCTGCTCAGAGTGGTGTCTGATTTTAATCTTAAACTGACCACCTCTACTGCCTCATCAACAATAGTCTCTTTTGATGTCACATCACTCTTTACGTGCATTCCTGTTGATGAGGCAGTGTGCTAATGATCCATTGTTAGGCTGATGGTCCTTCTTGAGCATGTGATCAGCTGGTTTTGGTTGTCAGCAGCAAACTGGTTCATCCACTCTGAGAAGGTGCTATTTAAGAGACTGAGCTGAAAACAGCACCTCAGACTGAGGAAGTCTCTTGGATGAGAGACGAAACGTTTCTATATATTTTTTTGCTTTGTTTTGTTTTTTGTTTTTTTAAATGTCCAGAGGACCAGATTGAACTTTTTTGGATTTTTCTACCTGGATTATTGAACATGCATCAGGATAAGACAAACATCCATTCACTCTCTAGCCCCCAGTATACTGCCGCGTACGTCGGGTCACGCGTACGTACGCGTGTACTGTACGCAGAGGGTTCAGACTTCAGACTCCAGCGTACACCCAGAGCAGCTTCACAGACAAGGGGCGTTTACCTTCGGGACAAATTGAGGTTGCCGATTGGTCATTTGCTGACACGCCTACTGGACTGATTGACAGGTTGAGAAAAAAAAAAGAGCGCTGGCAGCCTCACTCGCAGCGGTGTTCTGTGTTTATATGTTGTTAATAAAAAGATCTAAAAAAAAAAAAACAGGGAGCGCTGGCTCTGCAGCCCACACATCAGACCAGCCCACCAGGAAATCTCCAGACCCTCCAGCAGCCACGCTGGACCTGAGTTTTAATTTGCTCGTGACAAATTAATTAATTTCTCACCATTTCAGTCATTGCATCAACGAAGGAGGAAGAGATCACTTGCCTCTTGGCAAAAAAACAAAAGAAAATGCCAGATCAGAGGTGAAGAAGGGGAATTTAATACATCGGTGTCGCATACAAAACAGTCCGTCGCTGGGCATTTTATTGTGCGACACCGCGTACGCGTATGCGGTCGTAAAAATTGATTTGCACGGACATGCCCTGGGGGGTACACTCGTACCTCTGCATATGTACATGCGTACCTGTGCGTATGGATGTACGCTGGAGTATACTGGGGGCTTCTCTCTCACACCTAGGGACAGTTTAGAGTTACCAATCAGACTAACATGCATGTTTTTGGTCTGTGGGAGGAAACCGGAGTACCTGGAGAAAACCCGGAGAGACTATTTTTGAGAATACTGTAAAAATTTCTTCAAGGTCTTGATCACATTTGGGATGCTTGGCTTTAGGTGTGTTTTAATAAATTGTAGGATTTCTCAAAGCTCTAATATAGTATTACAGAACAACTCAGCTACAGTAGCAAACAGATGTTTGTCCTTGAATATGAAATCAACTTCTCAAACTGAAAGAATAAAATACATTTTTGTCCCAAATCCACGATGTCCCCTCCTACCTGAATGCCATTCTTCATTGAGCTGCTTGTTGTTATTGGGATGCTCTTCTCCAACACCATTAGAAAGCAACTCCCCTGCTTCCTCAGCTCCAGGACTCCCATTAGAGAATTCCTCATCCTCATCTTCCTCATCATCATCATCATCATTATCTACAGCCATCAGACTGTTGTCCTGATCAATTTCAGTTGTGATCGTGTTGAGAAGCTCCTGGTCTCCATCCTCTGGAGGGTTCCCATTAAAGTCTCCTGCTCCAAAAACTGGGGGGCTTCTCGCCATGTTGCCTTCTTCCTGCAACAGCCTCTCCATGGAGGCCCTGATGTCCCTCAGATCTTCATCTTCATACCCACTGAGGAACAAACCATAGTCTCATCACTCACAGAATGCCATTAGTTGGCAGTATTACTTATTTGTAACTTCACAGAATGAAACCAATGAGTGTTATCTGTCATTGTTAAATTACAATGCACAAATACACTTAAAGCTAACTGATATTTTACAACACAAACATGCATTTGCTGACAAACTATCCATGCTGTGCAACATAAAACATATAACCTTGCCAAGATTGTTAAGACTGATTAAACTCAGAGTCAGACCAGAACATATCTTCATGCATCTCTTACTCCTCAGCCTCAGATTGGTCATCCTCTTTAGCTCCATCCTCCAGGTCCTCGATTTCCAGGTCTTTGTGTGGAGCCACATTAGCTTTGCTAGTCAAGTCAAAGTCGTGCTGTGAGCTGAAGAGCCGACTGAGGTCTGGTAAGGAGCATGTCCGCAGCACCTAACCGTACAAAACAAGCAAAGTGACATGAGGAATGAACAGGTTGTGAAAAGTTCTGATCAGGAAATCCACTGAGAAGAAAAAAAAGTTTGTGTTACAACAGAGCAGCTGCAAATTATTATCAATACACAAAGGACTTGTACAGGTTTGACAAATGGGGTTTTGTATTGCAGCATGTTTAAAGTAAAAGTGTGCATCAGAAATAAGCACGGCTCTGTGTCCCTGACAAAGGTTTTGAAGATAGAAAGCAAAAGCAGCTCTTTTTGTTCTTTCAAATCTACTGCATGCTCAGACACTCTGACTAAAGACTTGTTGCGTTTCAACATTCCTCATTTAAGTCCTGTCCAAAATACCACAGAAGACTTTTAATCATGTTTAGCTGAACTGTGAATTTCCTGAAACACCTGGTCATTTGTACAGCTAAAAATTTAACAATTCTCCACGTGCTGTCTAAAACTTTCAATGGAATTTCCAAAAAAAGAAAGAAAATAAAAAATAGAATGGCATGCTCTGCCTTTAATCACTTTTGGGTTGTTGGCATCAAACATGCCCGTAGAGAGACCAATCAGGAGGGCATTCTGGTTCTTGGAGCGCAGAGGTGAGACAGATCGTGAGCGAGAGGCCAGAGAGGAGGATGATTCATCCATGGACGACTGGGCAGAGAGGACCGCGAGGGCTGCAGTGCGTCGATGAGCCGGCGAGCACTTGATGAAGAGTGGCTCCTCATACTGAGCTAAACCTGGGGGGTAGCCATGTTAGGGCAGATTTAATGAAGATTATAATTGGTCTAAAAATAAGCATCAGCTGCGGTTCACAACACATTTAACTCACATGATGATGATTCAGTTGGTTTCTCTGCACTCTTCTCAGTCTCCTTGGTGTCTGTTGGTCTTGTTATGCCCTCAGGCGGCCTGAAAAAGAAAGAATATAGCTCAAACGTGCAACTCTAAAACTACTTTAAATATGGGCACTAATTTGCCCAAACAAATTTTAATCATAATTTTACAAGTAAAATAATGCTTGCCAAATGCTTTTCCAAATTTAATCAACATAAATAGCTTAGAATAATAAATAGTCACATTTGCAGTTCCTGCTCCCACGCTTGCTGCACACCAGCCAGAGGGTTTGAGGCTTGTGTGGGACTCTCCTCCAAAAGCACTGACTCCAGAGTGCCTAAATCTAAAAGGGATTAATTTAGATTAGACTGTATTCTACTGAAAAACTCTTCTAAGAGCAACGTATCTTCTCAGTATTTCGTGAAACCAACCCTTAAGATCGGTCGAAGTGGGAGGCAGTGGTGCATGTAACACAGGCAAGTTCTGATCTGAATCCTGGTTTGGAGCTGCCGAGTTCTGATCCACAGATAACAACGTCAACGATTCTCTGGGCATTTTCTCAACATCAGCTGCTGCTAAAAGCACATAATTGAAAAAGGGAAAATAATTTTGATTGTATCTGTGACAATAAATAAACAAATCCAAACTTGTTTGACTTCAGATACTGTATTCTTCATGCACTAATAATCTGAAGGTGAACTATGAATGGGTTTAAAAATATTCAGGATTACACATAACAATTTTTGACAGAAAACTACAAGTATCATTGTGCCTACAGTAAAGAGAAAGAAAAAAAACCTTAAATAGCTCGTTCCTAAACTCATTGTCAAATGTTCACCATTTCTTCCTGTGGCTGACTTCAGGCAAAACAAATTAACTTGTGTTGAAATGTGAAACAAAGTCTAAAAGAATAAAAAATTACGCAGGGATATTTTAGCGGTTCAGTGTGTATGATCAAGAACATGTGTTAAACAAACCGGGAATAGCAGAAAACACATTTTCAGATGAAGAGCCAGTCTCTAGGTTCTGGGTGAGCGGCTGAAGCTCCGCCTCCTGAAGTGCTCTCAGCACCTGACACTCTGGACTTGCTTCCCACATCTTCCTAGGACCCTCTGCTTGAAGCTCGCCCATCTGTATGACCTCACCTACTGTTTGATCTGTGATGATACATATGCAGCGAGACGATATGCACTTACAAAACAGCGCAAAAACGATTTTCTGCAAGAGTGCTCTTAATTTTACTCAGAGTACGCACTTACCAATGGTATTCACGCACATTTCCTCTAAAGTTTGTTGTGCTACAGGGAGAATGAGTGGAATGCCTGCCTCCCACTTCTTCCTGTCCCCACCAGAGGATGGCCTGTCCTCTGGAAATGCTGACAGTTAATTAGAGACAGTTGATTGGAAAGTATACATAATTAAAAACATGTACGTAAACTGCTAAACTCCCTGAGCTATGGTCATTTTTGTTTTATGAGACCATTCATTTGTAGCAGTCATTAAATTGGTTGACACCAAAGGTTAAACCAGTTGTAGATCTACATTTAATGATTACTTTCCAAGTTTCATCAAAATCCATCTGCTGGTTCAAGAAATATTAAACAACAGACAGCCAAACACATGCACATAAACTGGCAAAACATTATTAACCATCTCTTGGTGGTGAGCGATAAGTAGGATTCCTTGCATGCAATAATAAACTTAACACACTACAGGTTGATTCTGATGCAGTATAACAGATGAAATGATACAGGCTCTTGTTAATTTTCCTCCAAGTGTTTCTGGAAAGGTCTGAACTCACTTGCTGCAGTGGCATCAATCTCTCCGAAGGTTTGATCAGATGCAGGAAGTACATGTAGCTGTGCTGCTCCCCACTTCTTCCCATCTCCAATAGAAGAGGGACATTTGTCAGCTTCGGACTGATTCTGCTGGGATGCAGGGTTCGGTTCTGCAGGGGCAAGAGACCCCTCCACCTCGTCTGCTGGGCTTTGAGATTTTAGGTTCTGGTTAAGCCTGCGCAGAATCTGCTTTTTCTCACTCTGTTACACAGAAATTATTTTTAAAATATGATTGTAAAGCCTGGATAATAATTATTTGTTTACTTGTTAAATGGTAAATAAGAACAAAGTGAAACACCTGGATCACAGTCGTCATCTCTGGTTCTTTCAAGTTTTCTTTCAGTGATGTGATCTATCAAACACAAAACACTTCATTCATACAGGCAATAATTACACGTCTAAACAACACTACAACACTTTCTCCACATATACTGACCGCTCCAACGTTCTTCAGAGCAGCAGTCATGGATATAGCTGGGGTGAGGTGTTGGGATGCAGACAGGGCTGAAGCTTTGGCAGACTGGTCTTGTTGGGAGGGGTTAGGTTCTGGAAGAGGGTTATAAGAGGTAGATGATGCGTCTGCTGCTGCGCTTCCACCTGCAACACCCAACTTCACATCTCGAGCTGCAGAAAGCTTTCACAGCAAGCAACCAGCATTAGAATAAACATTAGGCCATATCACTTTAATGTGTGTTTGAGATGTTTGAAATAAATAAAAGTCTACATGGTCCTCCCAGGCTCTCTTTTCTCTCTCATATGCTTGTCGTCTCTTCTTCTCCAATTGCTCTTTCAGAACAGCAGCACGGGCATTAGCTTGAGCCTGAGAGAGACATAAACAGTACATGAAGGTAAGACATTAATCAAGCATTGTTTTAATTATCAGAAAGGTTATGCATTACAGTGATCATAAGAATATCAGTGTGTCCCCTACCATTATACAAGCAAGGGAGATTTTTTTTGGCAGGAGATATCAACATGAGAGGGACTGGACACTCTTCCACTCTGGAGTTGCCCCTGGTGAGAGGCGCCGAGCAGGAGTGGGCTTACTTATTGCTCCCCAACTTGGTGCCTGTGTGTTGGGGTTCACCCCGGTGAATGAGAGGGTGGCCTCCCTCCGCCTACGTGTGGGGGAACGGGTTCTGACTGTCGTTTGTGCTTATGCACCAAACGGCAGTTCAGATTATCCACCCTTTTTGGAGTCCTTGGAGGGGGTACTGGAAAGTGCACCTTCTGGGGACTCCCTTGTTCTGCTGGGGGACTTCAATGGGGGCAATGACAGTGAGACCTGGAGAGGTGTGGTTGGGAGGAACGGCCCCCCTGATCTGAACCCGAGTGGTGTTCTGTTGTTGGACTTCTGTGCTCGTCATGGATTGTCAATAACGAACACCTTGTTCAAGCATAAGGGTGTCCATATGTGCTCTTGGCACCAGGACACCCTAGGCCGCAGTTCAATGATCGACTTTGTCATTGTCTCATCTGATCTGCGGCCACATGTCTTGGACACTCGGGTGAAGAGAGGGGCGGAGCTGTCCACTGATCACTACAAGGTGGTGAGTTGGCTCCGATGGTGGGGGAGGATGCCGGTCAGACCTGGCAGACCCAAACGTATTGTGAGGGTTTGCTGGGAATGTCTCGCAGAGTCTCCTGTGAGACTGAGTTTTAACTCCCACCTCCAGGAGAACTTTGAACATGTTCCGGGGGAGGTGGGGGACATTGAGTCTGAGTGGACCATGTTTCGTGCCTCTATTGTCGAGGCGGCTTACCGGAGATGCGGCCGCAAAGTTGTCGGTGCCTGTCGCGACGGCAACCCTTGAACCCGATGGCGGACAGCATCAGTGAGGGATGCTGTCAGGCTGAAGAAGGAGTCCTATCGGGCCTTCTTGGCCTGTGGGACCCCGGAAGCAGCTGATGGGTACCGGCAGTCCAAGCGACATGTGGCTCGGGTGGTCGCTGAGGCAAAAACTCGGGCATGGGAGGAGTTCGGAGAGGCCATGATGAATGACTTCCGCATGGCTTCGAGGCGATTCTTGTCCACCATCTGGCGTCTCAGGGGGGGAAAGCGGTACGCCATCAACACTGTTTATAGTGGGAGTGGTGTGCTGCTGACCTCAACTCGGGATGTTGTGGGTCGGTGGGCAGAATACTTTGAAGACCTCCTCAATCCCACCAGCACGTCTTCCACTGAGGAAGCAGAGCCTGGGGACTCTGGGTCGGGCCCTCCAATCTCTGGTGCTGAGATCACCAAGGTGGTTAAAAAGC